CAAAATTAAATTTGGTTACCTACACGACGAGTTAGGTACTATTATATTCACATTATATTATATTATGTATATTATAATATAACATGTAACTTATAAACAATACTAACTTATGCTACACAATATATAAAAGTAATAATATTTTATTCGTAAAAATGCCATGTGCCCATGTATACTCTAGTTTTGAATAGTAAATCGAGTCGATGTGGCCAATATTATCATTATAAATTCTATTAAACGATGATGTAATTCATAATAATCGTTCATCAGGTGTGTGGGCGGAGAGGTCTCAAAAACGATAGGTTGTGATATGCCAGTGTATTTTGTATAGTAATGTTTTTTTTTTTTTTTTAAGAAAAATAATATAATATATTATATTATATTATAAAATATGTAGTCTTTTATGAATACGATCTGCCACACACAAACACACACAAACGAGCTGTCAGTATTTTCGAAGCTCGATCTCTTGTGTTGTATTGAAAATAAAAAAAGAATGAAATTCGTATTAATAATTTAATTTTGCGAGAACACTCGATCGATGGAAAACGCTTCAATCGGATGGGCGACGGGCTCATTTATATGGTCGGATCGCATGGCTATACGTCAGCTGACAGGGTTCCGCTGTTGGCCGGACACTGTACACTTTATAATGTTCGCCACTTCTTTGCAAAAAGCTCCTCTTTTTTATTCGTCCATTTTCGACTAGTCGACAAATTCTCGAAAAGAGTATACAAATAATAAACGTTTGCTCATGAGAAACAAAACGTTTGCTATTCTTAACGCTCTGCGTATTCACGTCCCACATAATATTATTATACAGAAATTATATCGATCGGTATCTTAGGTACCATGGTAGTGTAGTAGACGACGATAGGCGAGAATCAAGTTGATGTATCGTATCCTAAAAAGCACAGTCCCGTGGAGTGTAGGGCTCGCCGGGTCACGCGCTGTTACTCGCCGCTGCTCGTCCGGCAGAGTTGCCGATGGATTGATGTGGGTGTAAAAAAAACAAGGAGACTGATCGAGAAGTGTTAGGTCGACGGTGTCGGTTGTGGGTGGGAAATAAGGGACACATATGCCGATCGAGATAATAAGATACACGCATAGTATTATAGTAGGCGCACCCTGTGCGACGTATGTGCAAGACATGGGTACTACGTCCTATATTATAATATAAACTACGTTACGGACCAACTAAGAAATGGAAAAATAATATACAACGCCCGAACGTTTTTGCCAACGTGAATTGCAATATTCCCCATATTATGGCATTTTTTCCGATCATAAATTATGACGTGCAATATATTATAATGATAGGCCAACATAATAATAATACGATGCTTTGCCAGAAAACCCGGTGATCGATGATGTGCCGAATACGATACATATTATACCACTCTATTAATTTATATACGAAATGAGTCTTATTTACATTGTTGGGAATAGATTACAAAAATGACATCTAGATCAGATACAGATAATAATTATTGTACGTTATACATTTATCTAGGTACATGTGAAGGTATACATTGATTTTAATTTCAATTCAACTGATGAAAAAAAAATTATCTAATTTCTATCTAGATTATTTGGTAGATAAAATTATTAGATTTAATTATTGTATTTCAATAAGTGAAGAAAATAAATATAAAATTTGGACAAAATATAAATTAGACATTTTGAGCTTATACAATAAAGTTACTGAGATTATTTAAAACAGGACGACGTAATTTTAACATTATATTGAACATGTTCAGAATTTAAAATCCAAAGGTTAGCTAAATCACGTATTCTGTGTATATTTCAAGATATTTAATCATCTTTAATTTTGGAATTACGAAGATAAAATGACAAAACTCGAATTGGACGAAATCATGATTTTACTGGTTTTTTTTTCAATTTTCGTTAGTTTTTCCTTAAGTATTTATCTAAAGGTCATTAAGGTTATCTAGATGAGTACATTCTTAATATAATATTATTATAACCATTAAATAATTGGCACAATAGTCATGTAGATTAGATAATATGATAATAGATGAGTATTTTGTATCCTAGTCAAGTTTGAACATTAGTCTTACAAGAGTATTTGCATTCTTTACGCCATTGTTATATTACCTACATGTCTTTGACCATAAGACAACAAACAAAATGATAAAAAATCCTATACTAACCATTGGTAATTGGTCACATACATCGCCCAACGATATTTCCCTGTCCTGTACGATATCCCACAATGCATACATTTTCCTACTTTTATACCATTGTAATTGGGTCCAGGCTCAAACTGGTTCACTGTGTACTACATCCGATTTCATATTTTGCCCGTAACGTATTATAGTGTTGTTTAAATTATTTGGTACAATGTCGTATTATTATAATATAATTGTATATACCTTGACCAGAGTCGGTTTAAACGATCATATTAGGTCACTGCGTAGGTATTGTTTAAATACAACTGTTTTTAGATCGAAAGGAGTCTTTAATCACAAACTCACAATATTTCGGTACGCTCATTTCTGGCCGAGTGCTTTTATAAATATTATATAGATACAATTAGTAAAGTATTATCAATAAATAAACAGCCATCGGACTAACCTATTGAGGTGTAAAAACATAATTAGTTTGAAATCATCATATTATTAGTTATACATTTTACGTTATATTATAGGAACTAGAACGCTCGACATAGACATATTTTATATATTATATTATTATATAATTTTACATATAATACAACTGACTAGATTAAGTTTTAAGATAAACATTAAATATTATACTGTACGATTGAGTATTTGGACGTATTTAGATTTATTTACACAAGTTATATGTACACGTTACTCGAAGGTATTTGTAATCCGCCAAGAACAACTCTCGACGAATTTCACGATCAACATAATATTATGTATTTATGTACTTCTGACTTAAATTGCTTTTACGGAACGCAGGCACGTCACAAAAGTAAAACGACGGAAACTATAAAATAATCATAATGAAAAAAGCGTCGGAAATAAATAATCGAAAGGAAGTAAGTGTTAAGGTGTACCACCTACACTGTTCGTTTATACTGTGTATCATATATCTAAAATAAACACAACAAACTTATGACGTTTGTCTTTCAGAAACAAAGTTTTGATTTCAATAAATGACTTTCTAGTTAACTTTTTCCTAGAACACTTCCTACTGAAACCGAGTGGTCTGTTCCCACTCGCGTTTGACACATTATTTTAGTACCAAACAACAATAAGTATTATATTAATATCCCGACAACACTGTAATATCATAATGTTTAACTACCCACGACGGTATGACTGTTTCAATTTTCGTTCTTCAAATTACTCGCATATTATATGTATTTGGAAGTGATAATATTAAATCGTGAAATTTATTGTGCGACGCAGAACATTTCTATATTATTATGAAATTCGTATTGATTTTGTTGTATTTTTCCAAAATAATTATCGACTGATAAACTTCAGAACTTTCGAGATACTGTTTCATATTAATATTATAATTTCGGAAATAACCAACCCTCGATGTCGGGAAATCGTGGTAATAATTTTTACCTAATCGTAAAATGTAAATTTTGTACGCCACGGGTTCGTGGTAAACACTCTCTCTCAAACACACCCACGCACACATATATATGTATATTGTATATATTATAATCGATTTACACTGGGTAGGTACCTACAACTTTGGCCAAACATATTGACAATAATACACACTCACATACTACCATATAATATGTAATAATTTATACACTTGCATTTTATTTGGCCAAGTCGATTAAACGTTTAATTTACAATCTATTTATTATCGTCGTATAGCCCATGATATTATAATAACGGGCCGATTATTATTTTTCTTGAATAACACAAACAATGTTTTTTCAGGGATCGCCCGGCACACAAGTGTATATAGATGTTTATATTATATACGATGATAGTATGTTATTATATTATATTTACATTGATAGGTATTTGTTATACTATAAATATTGAGTGCATTGGTGGCCGAAGCACACGTCATAACGTCAGCCCGTCAAAACGCGGTAGAGAAATTTTTGGTTTTTATTATTTTACCGCGTCAGTATTGTTTTCACTACAAATCGGTTAGGGTTTCAAAATATTGCACGGAAAAAGAATAATAATAATAATAATATACGATCTCATATTATATCAACGGGGTTGGCGTAAATATAATACGTAATACACCCCCTCTCCACACACGTCCATAATATTATTATCTCTCTAGTTCTGCTAGTTCTGTACTTTGCTGTGAGTGAAATGACAGCACCCAGATAACGGTTAATACTCAACATTTCGAAATTTCTTGGATCCCGTTTTTAATGTGAATTGCACGTCAAAAATGTCTTTCAGTCGGACCGTTAACGTGTTAACCCGGTCGGCGCTTAAAATGCCGAAAAAACCAATATTATGGTCCGTTACGGGTAAAAGGCTGACCTGCAGTGTTGAGATTGACCTCTGCAGGTTTTAGAAAATGTCTATTATTATAACGTCAGACTCCAAATAGTCTCGAGTTAATGGTTTAAAAAAATACCTATCACACAATAAGATCAAAAACAACATTAGCAGAATACTTTTGTTAAATATTACATTACTCGAAAATGAACACAATACTCCGTCGGTTGGTTTGGATAAGGAAAAAAAATTCAATCTGTTTTACTTTGTATGGTGCAGAATAAATAATACGTCATTAGGGTCATTTGAATTTATAGAGACTGACAATTCAGTCGATTTTTTGGTTTGATTTTGAACTCTCGATTTCTCCATTGCATGTCATTTGAAGTTACTTTTGTCGTTCTAAAAATCGTAAGAAAATAGCCGTAAACTATTTAAGTCGACAGTGGTGTTAGGAGAAAATAAAAATATACTCAAACGTAAATCTAAAGTCATACATACACACACACAAATACACAATCACATACATACACACTAACGTATACACACACGAACGCACTATAATAAGTGTCGTTATCGTTACTGGGAGACGGTGGCAGTGGCGGCGGCGGGCGCCAAGCCCCAATCTTCCGGTGAGCAATTATCGGCATTCGGCGGTGGCGATTCGGGTGAGTTACCGTTAACAGTACAGCCACCGCCGCCGCCGTCCGCGCCGTTTCCTAACAAACGTTGTTCGACCAGGTACTCGTCGTCGTTGTTGTTGTTGCTGTTGTTGACGGTAACCGCGGTCGCCGAAGACGCCACAGCCGCTGCCTTGACGACAGCGAAGGCCTTACCGCAGTGTTTGCTCGGAACGTCTTCGGCAGTGTACTCGGACTGGTTGCCATAAGCGTACGCCATTTCGGCCACTCGCGAGTCGACCGATGACGAGCCGCCGCTAGAGTGGTCGGCGGCCGCCGGTTGCAGCTGGTGCGGTGGCGGCTGAACTACTGCGGATGCGGTCGGCCGGCGGTCCACCGTCAGGTCCACCTGTGTCTGGCTGCTGGGTTCAAGCACGGCTGGATTGACAGCGGCCGAGCCGCACACCGAGCCGCCGTCGCCGTTGGCCAACAGGGACGCCTCCCGGAATTCGCGACGCAACATTTCGGCCTCCATGTCGAACTCGTCGTCGTCGTACTCGTAGTCCATCGATTTGGCGGCTGCTTCGGCGGCAGCGGCAGCAGCAGCCGCCGCTGCCACTTCACTAGCCGATGCCATACAAACGCCCTGCATCACACGTCGATAATTACACATTTATAATATTATAATATATTATTAATCATTGATTTATTATTAATCATAATTTATAATATAATATATTATTAATCATTAATTTATAATATTGTAATAATAATTTATCATTTTTTATCGTACTCATTATTGTTAGCACTGTTATAACTATTATGAACCCACCACCACCAGTTGTGATTTATCTAGAGGTTTTTCAATCAGGAAGTGCATTAATTTCCAAAGTGTGAAGTATACTGTGTGACCGTGAGAAGAGAGGAGAGTACTACTGAACAGTGTACCATATTATATAGTCATATAGAACTTTTATGACTCCGGAGTTTGGAAAAGGAAAAATACCTGGTATCACTTGAAACCGTGTATGAAGTACAATATAATATATTTACCCAATTTTCAAACCGTAAAAACAAAATATTAGTTAGGAACATTGTAGATTATTGCATTATGACTAGTTATTCGTTTTTATGATAACAGTTAATAATATATTATGTATCTGTTATTAACATAACCGCATAGATATTATAATGTATTGTGTGGCTAGGGCTGGAAGTGAGCTATTTCAGTCGCGGGCGACATATGTGTGTAAATAAACATAAGACTGGCTATCTTCAATTGTTTCAAAAGTAAAAAAAAAAAATATTTTTTATTTTTTTACCAAAAAATTTAATTAAATCAAAAAACAAAATATATCTAGTCCTTGTTTTTGTAAGTCCTATAAAAAAACATATTTATTATCTCAAAGGGTAAATAGGATGTCTCAAAGGGTATAGATCCTCGTGGGACACTCTGTATATTACGCTTTTTTTAGTTTTTCAATACAAAGTGGTGGTGTTAGTAAACGTAATAAAAAAAAAACGAAATTGCAACCACTGTTAACAGCCACAGCCTACAAATAGAATATTATACAAGAAAATCGATTAGATTTTAAATTGTAATTTGTAAACGCTTTGTTTCTAGATGTTAACACTCTATTTACAACAATGCCCGCTTATATAATAATATATATGGCTTGTGCGGCTGTGTCGTTACAGCGTTTGGTACAAGTATAATTAGTTTCAAAATTCAAATTATATAATATTTATATCTGAAACGTTTAAAATTCGAGTAGGTACTAAATAAAATATTAGACAGGCAGCCTCTTAGTTAATGTTTCACGAAAGTAGGTTTTAATACATTACCTAGGTACTTGTTCCATGCGTGTTATACCAAAAAGGTTTTCGACAATTTCCTATATTTTGTATGGAAATATGGTTCATTACTCTAACGGCAGTGTTCATTTATAATAATTAGCTTAGGCATTTTAACATTTTGTTTAAACCATAAAATCTATTCAATATAAAAATAAACACATCAATAATTTTCACAAGATAAAAATGTTATTATATCGAACATGATATTTGACTGTAAGCGTTGAAAAATATAGAACGTGTCATGTAGAGTGTAGACATCCGAACTAAAATACGAGTAGTAGGTAATGGTATGTAGATTTTGTATTCTTTATTTCTGTACAAACTGAAAAGCGAGGGTTCTATAGGTTTTACAATAGTAGGTATCTCTTTTTTTCTACGTCCATTAACATTTTTGCGAATAAAAGGAGTGTTGCGAGAGTTTCATAAGCTTCTCTATAAAGTGAAAATTTGACACATCGAAACAGTAAAGCAGACAAACAGTACTGAGAAAACAGAATAAAAACGTGGAAGAATAATGAATAAGTGTTCAATATTATGAGCTAGTATCGGATTTTTTGTAAATCCATTGACTGACTAATGGTGGTGGCTGTTTTTACTGCCAAATTGTAAATCTTCCTCTTGAGTGGCTCAGTTAAATCCTGTATCAACGTTATTTAAATAAATATAATACTTAATAAATCTTATATACCTTGCTTGTACCTAAATGAGTTATGAATGCAAATACACCACCTACATAATAACAGTCAGTATCTATATATTAAATTAATATATTTCTAGCATAATTATTAATGATACTCAAATCAATTGTTGATGTGATACATGGTACCTGCTGTAGCCATGCGAGTGTAGACACACACATGAAACATCAAATGCTTTTAAAATGAATAATATTTAAAAAAAAAATCTGAATATTTTGTTTTTGATTATGCCAGGTTTATTTTCTTTAATAAACTATCCCTTCAGCTTTCATGCATATTTTTTATAGGTACAAAATGATTTTGACGGCTCACTTTTTTTTCTAATAAATATTCAAAAACTCTATATATGCAATTATATGCATTTTTATTAAAATAATATGAAAAAATGTGCCAAGTAAAAATTATTTTATTCAATTCAATATGATCCGAATTGTGGATTTAAGTGACATCAAACGAACATATTATTCGCACTATAGGAAAAAATATACTAATGCAGTAATGCATAAAAATCGTTAACGACCTATGAATTTTATTTGAAACTGGTAAGTACATAGTAATCACATTAAAATAATTTAAGATTATGTAAAATGTATACAAATAATAATACAACAAAGGCCAATGGTAGAATAATATTTTAAAGGGCATGGCTAATTGTGCCAAAACAAAATTTGTATTTTACGGTCAATATACCAATTTCGCTTGTATTCAAGTTCGGCGGGCGGAAATATTTTTGTACTATCTAATTACATCAACATCAACATAAACACACTAAAATGCTTGAAAATGAAAAACGTATTTATTGATAAATTGATTACTGGTTAGAGACTGGTTATATTAATATATTATTTTTTAACGGTATCGGGCATTTTATGAAACGTTACTATTATTACGACAGCATTTGATCACGGAGGTATGCATTTGAGACGAAAACAAGTTATCATTATCATACATTTTAAGTTATTGACAATCAAAAAGTAACTTATCAAATGTGAGGAAAAAATTGTTTATTTATTTATATTATTATATTATATGTAAAAATGTATTATGAATTAATACTCTCAAAAAATCGATTAGTCTAATCATTTATTATATATTATATTATAATTTATAGCTAACTAATAACTTTTTCTTAGGTAGTGTAAAATGTTTTGAACGCAATTGGTCTATTGATCCTAAAATTTATAAAACGCAATTCGCCTATCGATCCTGCAATTTTTAGAGCGCAATTGGTATATGAAAAGGTTATTTTAAGCCTTAAGGGTTCATTATAATGAAATAGGCTCATGTTTTGTTGATGACTTTATTCCAACAACACCAGCCGATATTAAACTTCAAATATTTGCTGAATATTATATAGACAAGAATTCATTATTCCCATCACATATTTGGGCAGTTACATATTTGCAACTCATCATCGTCTACACTAACGATGAATGCCTGTGAATCATTTCACAGTAAGTGTAATTCAGAACTTTACCATCCACATACTCAAATTTTCAGTTTCATTAAAATTCTCACCGATTTTTAAACCGATACATACCTACATTAAACTATCAAGTATAAATAATATACGATATACGTCACTGAATTACCTCTCAAACAAGTCAAAGAACATAAATCAAATATAAGTTACTTTGAACCAGTACAAATAAAGAATTTCATTCATTAAATTAGTTGCATCCTAACACAAATACAAACAAATCTGTAGGTATAAAAACGGCGAATTATAACATATATGCAAGTTAACTTTTTTTTAATAAAATATTATTATTTCCAGTTTATTTCATTTTCATTTGACCAAGAAACGTAAATGCAATCAATCTGGTGATAAATGCAACATCAATTTGAATTTTTCAAATGTTATTTACCTGTATCACATACCTGTAAAAAATGTATATACATTTTTTTTTTACCATTGATTAACTAGAATAATATTTGCATAATGCAGTTATTCATGAATTAACCTTAACGATGATATAATGAGTATTATACCTGTATTAAAATGTATTTTATGAGGTAATTTGATTAAGTATATTATAATGCAATATAAACGAGAAATATTCGTTAAGTAAATTTCATTGTAAATGTAAATTAAATTATGTTCAACATTTTTTTTTATCCTGATTATACACCACTGTAAATATATAAAATATGCATTAGGTACCCATGCGGTCATTACTTTTTTTCTTTGGTACAGATTCTTATTATTATTTCTAAAACATTAAAAGTTACTATAGATCATAATAATAATATTTTATGAAAAGAGTTATTATTTGTGCTCGAGACACTATTCGGCTGCAGTATTTTTGTGGAACTATAAGTGTTCAACATGGATGCATCCTAATAGAAAAAAGTTAGCATTAAATAGGCAAGCACACAAATAATAAAATTGCTTTTTGCTTTCATACATAAGTAGCCCATTGCTATGGATATACAAATTAAATTAAATTATTATTATGAAAAAGAAACGGCCAGTAATTAGATATCTTACATTTAATTTTAAACGCCTCTAAACGTGACTTGGATGATAATTAAATGGCTATGTACACGCGCAAAATATTTAAAAGTGCAAAAAAAATACGTTATAGTATAATACTTTGTATCAACATTCAACAATGATGATGGGTGGATAATATTAATGAACGCTTGTTCTACTTCTTCTCGCAAATGATCGCAAAAACTGAATAAACGTCTGAATTTTGATTGAATGGCTCAAAACTAATTTTCTATAATATAACAATAGTTATACCTACTTGATGGTTGTTTTTTTATTTGAATTTACCACTAAACGTTGGTACTTGGTAGTCAAATTAGCGTGTAATGCATATTAGAGCCAAAATTGTGTACACTCTGGAATTTGAATTTTGGTTTACGTCCAAGTATTGTAATAATTTATTAATCAAATCGAAAAATGTTGTGACTTAAGAATTAAACGAAGAAAAAAAATCAATTTTATTATGAATTCAAATGAGGGGAAGTCTGTATCTATATTTAAAAGTGTAATAATTTCAACCAAGTGCATTTGATAAGTAAAACATTTTGCTGACATGTGAAGGAATGAGGTTTTTATCGATCGCCATGTATCAGAATACGAGAC